ATTAAATGATCATGGTCAGCTTTGGAAATAGGAAAGTAACAACACAGAAGATCCCAACCTGTGAGTTTTTGGCACGATGGCATCCTTTGATTACAAGGTCTGTAATCGCATTTAGAGTGGAGTAAACATTTTGGGGAAGAGTGTTAGATAAATAAACCATTCTGCTACAGAAATAGCCTTGTCAGACTTCAGGCTACACAACAACCCAGTAGGCAATTGGGGAGTGTTCGAGATAACCAGCTGCAAGGGACCAAAAGAAGGAATGTGGTTGACCATAGTACATCACAAGGCTGCATTAATTTGATGTATGGCATGTTTATAGTGTTGATGGGTATGGAGTCAGCAGGAGACTGATGTCTCGGAGTGCATTAAACAAAGGCTGCAATTCATTAGTATGAAGGCACAAAAATGGACGGGCCCAATTTAAGTTCCCGTGGAACTGTTGCAACTGCACTAATGTAAATCAAGATTGAGTTTTTAGTTCTGGTAAGAATGTTGAAGATGTAGCTTGCAACAGTTTGTGCCGTAGATAAAGAAACAGAGGTGTGGTTCGTATCTTTTCTGGAGCTATGTGAAGGCCTTTTCCCTCTATGCAGTTAGCTAGAGAATCATAGACAGTAGTGGAGAGGGATTACCCAGTCACCAAAATGTTGTCCATATAATGATATACAAGCAATTCAAGATGTTTCAAGCAAAATTGCTGTTAGGGCTAGATCCACAAAATGTTGACATAAAGTCAGGGAATTCAACATTCCCTGAGGCAAGACTTAGGACTGATATCTTTGAGTACGTTGGAAATTGTTGTACACAGGGACTTTAAAGGCAATTTTCCCCTGTTTTGTGGTGCTAAAGGAATAGTGAAGAAACAGTCCTTGAGATCTACTATCATTAACTCATGGTGTTGGGGTATCAAATTTGGATTAGGTAAGCCGTATTGTAAAGGGCCCATAGGTTGAATGCGCCTGTTAACTTCCCAAAGGTCGTGTAGCAAACACCACTTCCCAGATTTCTTTTTGATGGTGAAAATGGGAGTATTCCACGGACTGGTGGAATATTTAATATGTCCTTGATCTAATTGCTCCACTAAGGCCTCCACTGTGTGGAGCTTTTCTTTAGACAATGGCCATTGATCAATCCAGACAGGTGGTGCAAGGAGCCACATTAATGGCAAGGCTGTGTCAGATTGCGTAGAGGCCTGTATTATAAATTTGTCTGCAATTTTGCATCAACCTTTTTCAAGAGATCCCGACCCCAGATGGAAAAGGGAATAGGCAGACTGTAAGGAGTGATTGTGATTTGTCTAGGAGAGTCACCTAGACTTTCCAGAACAATGAGCTGAAGGCTTTTCTGGGCTTGCTCATAGCCTCCAACTCCCCAAATGTTGTGGGCTGTGTGGGATAGCTTTCTGGCCAGTCTTTCTTTGCAATAACGGTAACGTCAACTCCTGTATCAATCAGGCCATTAAGAACAAGTGATCACATTTTAAGAGGAAGTTGGGGCTGCGAGTGCTTGATGGTAGTTAAGGCAGCAAGTCAAGTAGAACCAAAATCCCCACTATGAGGGTTGGTAGAAGGACCCATCTGTGTTAATGAAAACAACAACAATTGAGCGATAGATTCACCCGCAGGAAGGACGCGATATATTAGACCAGGTTTGAATAATTAAGGGTCCTTCATAATCCCCCTCAATGATGCCTGGTACAACAAATAAACCCCATGCAGGGACGCTAGAGCAGGGGAGAATGAGACACACAGTGTCTTTGGGTTTCATTCCATAATGTGCTATTTTTGACTTTGTAGACAGCGAGAGGGAATTGATAGTCGACCTCTTCGGCTATGATCAGATCATGACCGGCATTTTTTAATGGTAGCAAGTCAAATTTCTTGAATTGGAGTAATATTCACTGAGTTCCCCCCACTTGACCCGGGGCTGGAGGCCCACTCGACTTGGAGTTTCCCAGTGTTGGAACAAACTGGCATTGATTGGCCCAGTGATAACCTTTCTGACAGCGGGGGCATTTTTTAGAAGGGTGTTTATTTTTTGGGGGGGGTTGATCTGCATTTGTGTCTGAAGTGTCCTTCCTTGCCACAGGAAAAACATTTACGATCTCAGGTGGGGTTCAAGGAGGTAGCCATTGCTATGGCCAAAAGCTGTGTCTTAAGAGTTTCTGTCCCAATATTCAGACATAATTTTAGCATGGCAGCAATGTCAGTCTCTGGTTTATTGTAAATAGCCTGAAGGGCCGTTTTACAATCCGTGTTAGCATTTTCAAATGCCAGCTGTTTCATCAAAATATCAGCAGCCTCAGTATTCTTCACCTGCTGTTTAATCGCTATGAAAGACATATAGTCCTCTGTAGGACCCTGATGCAAGTTGGCAAAAGACCCTAAAGGGGTACCTTTGTCTGGGATTTTTAACCAGGCTGCTTAACAATGTCACCCACTTGTGCCAATCTGTTAGGGATGGCCTGTTGTGCTATGGTGACAGAGTCCATCTCCATTTAGCATATCTGCAGACACAGCAATATTGTTCTGTAAATTATCCATGGCCAGAGTCGCAGCGGCATCTTTCCATTCCTGCATAAACAATACATATTGCGGAGAAATGAGCATAGCTTTAACCAGGGCTTTCCAGTCGGCTGGAATAAGATTTCTATTTCCTCGTAGCCAACAACCAGCCCAAGAGTAAAATTGCTATGGGGAACATTTTTAACTACACTTTTTTTCAACTCTTTAAATGTGGCAAGGGGAAGACCCTCATGAACACGCTGTCCCTGATTGTTACAAACCACAGGACAAACAGACATAAGGGGGAGGGCAACAGCAACATCCTCCGGGCTTCCTTGGGCCATAACATCAGATAACATCTGCTGCACTGCTAAATGAGGAGTGGGAGAAGGAGGGGGAGGAGAAAAGGGAGAGGGGGCCATTGGAAGAGTGGCAGGAGCTGCATAGGAAGGAGGATTGTTTCTATTTTCATGGAGATCTGGTGGCTTAGAGGGTGGCAAAATCTGAGGGGCTGTTGGAAGTTTAGCTAAAGACTGGGCTAACAAAGGATTCACAATCTTTGAAATTGCGTCCTGGCAAAGATGCCATGAATGGAGGACTTTAACTGGAGCAACAGGGTCTTTGTGCAGTTTATTCCCAAGTTTATCCCAACCTGAAAGCTTAAAACTGCCCTCTTCTGGACACCAAGGACAACAAGTACCTATTTGTGTCATTAAATCCTCTATTGAGGCAGATACATCATGGTGGCCTTCTTTATGGAGCAAGCAAATCAGGTCTGTCATATGCTGATGCTGAAGTGTTTCCCATCTTGAACAAATAATACTCACTGGGACCCAAAAGAAGATGTGACAATGCGTTTGGAGCCTGTGTCCAGCGAGGTGAACTGCTTTGATTTCCTCAGGCGATGTCCCTGTTCGTGTGCCAAATGTGGGTGATCACGGAACATAGGAAGGCTAATTGCCTTTGAGAGAGGACAAAGGAGTCAACAGTGGATGTCCGAGCCAGCAGAGCCTATTGGCAATGCCCTGAGAGCTCTTTAATTTCCTTAGCATGATTACATTGTATGTTATGAGAGAAACAGATAGGACACTAGTTACCTAATCATAACTAGGATTGGCTAAAATAACCCTTTGATCTTATGCTCCACCTCTAAGCGAAAGGCCAGAAGAAGGGGTTACCTCACCTCCTGGCAGCTGCCGCTTCCTGCCAGGAATGTATGCACGTCACTGGAACAGAATGCAGCTAAAACCTTTAAGTAGAAGTTTCCCACAGCTTAATGTGCTTAACATTTTGTACTGAATTTTTTTTTCAAAAGTGTTAACGGTAGATTACAATGCTTAGATTATACAGCATTCATTATTATTAAAATAAAAAACCCTTTACATAAGTTTTATTGTAAAACAAAATCAGTACATACAAAAAGAAATTCCAAGATCATTCCAGTATAATGAAAGAAAAGATTTCCTCTTCATTGTGGAAACTGGATAGTTATGGCTCCCACAGTGAAAAAGAGAAAGAGACATTGAATGCTAACGTTGGTTGTTCTGCTAAACACAACAGCACGCGAATTTACCCAACGCCTGTAATTCATTATACGTACATAGACTCCTGGAAATTTTGGTCGGCCACAGCCAACACCATAGCTGGTGATTCCTAATAGATAATATTTCATTTTATTTGGAAAATAACACATCAGAGGTCCTCCACTGTCTCCCTGGAAAATGGAGACAAAAGAATCTTGCTACTGATATTCTGAAGTTTCTGGATAAAAAGAAATTTTGAGCCATTATTCTGATTTATGTCCTTCATAAACTTGTCAGAACAAATTGCTGTTTTTAAAGAAATATATATCACTCTATAGCAGAGCTCCAAAATAATGTGTTCTGCATTACTTTTTGGACTAATGCCAGAAAGAAGCTTTTGATTAATCTTTTGGGCATTCCTAAACAAGAATTTAAACTAATTCCACATCAAATCTTCACTTTTTAAAAAAGGCAGCCAAATCTCCTTCCTCTTCCAAAATCAAGTGTATACAAGGTAGTTCACCCCGGCTCAATAAATGCTTTATCTAAATGTTAGATAACAAACCAAATAATTGATAGCTCTGGAGTGATTAGAAGGGAGAGTGAAGCTGGGGGCAGCAGCAGACGCGTGAGTGGATGGTCCGGCCCCAGGGAGATGGACCCTTGTTACGTCCAGCTGTGTGGGGGAATTTGTATACGAATACCCCCATCTCTATTACTGAGATCATGGTCACTGATTCTTATTGTACCAACATCAGTTCAATACAGTTGTGCCAGAACTGCGGGGGGGGGGGAATGGTCCAGCCTCCCATGGATCATGATTGCAAAATAATATTTTGGCTATCCAGAAAACACTTGATCTTAAAAGGGAATTATAATCCTCTTTCTCTTTGGAGAGGGGAAGAATGTATTGATATATACTCTCTGGAGAAAGTACACCAAACTATTGTTTACATCCAGTGCTAGTATGGGTATGTATCTACTCAAAATGAAGTCAGATGCATTTATGTTAGATAGGTGGGGTGGGTATAGAACTGGCACTTTAAAAACATGAGCATGGAGGTACTGAGAATTCCAGCTATAGTCTCAATAAGCTTAACATTATCTGTACCTTATTCAAGATACAGCTCAAATAATGCATTATCAATTTAGTGTCTGGGATAATAACAAATATAATGCTGCTGAAGATCTTTTTAAGAACTATCTGCTTTAGATGGAAGCAAATGGTATTTTGAATGGAAGAATATAACACACTTTTCTGTAAGGCTCATCATCTTTTCGTCTCATTGCTACCTGATTCCTTTAGCCTCAATTAAGATAATCACTGAGACATAGCCATACTTAATTACTGCATATGATTTTAGAGAAGAGAAATACAAAATTGTAGCATTGTTAATTTTACAATGATACTTCTAATGTCCATTTTATTAATAAACAATTTCAGCTACTTTCAGTTTGCAAATAAACTAGAGCTATGTTGATATTATCAAGTCTCAGGTTACAGGAAATTTTGACAATATGTTTTAAAATGGAATTACTCTTCATTTTACCTGGCAACTATCAACGTGTCCACCTGCGGAGCCAGCACACATCATGTTCCATGATACTTCCCCAGCATACCAATCATATCTATTACAGATATATAGTGGAATAAGATCAACTTCAGCCTCCTGTAATATATATGTGCTTCGGCCTGTAATAAAAACACACACAAATATTGTTGGAAGTTGCTGCATTTAAATTCTATAAAGTAATACTGCTCTTGAGCTACTTTTAGATTAACAGTCATTTTTCTTGGGAAAAGGGGGAAATTATCTCCTGTAAATTTATCAAATGGTCACATTTAAAAGAAATTTTGGAAAAAAATAATATTGAAAAAGGTAATCCAATGACTCATGCAATCTAATATGTGCATATCAAGCCCTAACTAGAGGGTTAAGGGAATTTACAACCTATATTGTTTTACATTGATTGATAAACTGAGACTTCAAAATACTTTTCTAATATATGCATGGTAGTGAGAATGCAGATTAAAGTTCATCCATGCCCCCACCTTTCTGCCTTACTTGCCACTGATAAGGCAAAAGGATATCATTCTGTTACATTGAGGAGAAATTATCAAACCTGTATTCACAGGTCTGAAATTTAGTAAAAGAGGAAAACTTGGCAGACTCAATTAAATGGCACATGTATACATTGCTATCTCATTTTAACTCCAATATTTTGAAGGAAACTCTTAACATCCTGTCACAATCCCTCTCTCATAAGAAAACCAAGTATGATAAATATATTCATTTACGTACTATGGATGAAATTCTGTCAAGTTAACCCATAATCCTATGGTTTAATATATGAACTGACTGTTCTTTTTTGCTTTATTTAATATGCCATTTCTGTAGAAGTATTGCAGATGCTGGGTCTTGGGTGGAACCTCTTAAGTTATCAATCAAAATGCATTTCTTGTAATGGCGACAAAGCTGACAAATCTCTCACAGATAGGGTTGTTTGCATATTGTCATTCCTAAGTATCTTTTAAAAATACTCATGGCTGCAAAGATCTTTGGGTAACTCTGAAACAATATGCAAAAGAGAGATAGGAAAAAGAGAGAAGGAACAGAGTGAGCTGTCCTCATGAATAGAGGCGTTGGAAACAGGAGAGAGGGAAATAATAGAACGGGAAGAGTTGATTGTAGAAGAAAGAGAAAGTTGAAATCTATCTGGTGGAGGAAGGAGAAAGAGAAAAGGAGGAGTTGTTAAGTATACCAGTATGGGAGGAGGATATAAAAGCTGAAAGGGGGAAAAGAGTGTTTAGAATATCCAGGGGAGAGAGTAGGAAAGAGAAGAAAAGCAGAGAGAGAGAAAAAGGTGAACAGGGATATGAAAGAGTGTGTGGGTTATTAGAAGATTTACCTAATTTGAAGGTAGGAGGATTACTGCCAAACCCCGACTTGTCAAAGGGAAAGGAAACATTGACAGAGGTGCTGAAATGAGACAGTTATGGTCTTTCCGCGGAGGTCACTTGAGGAAGGTGATCTGACCAGACCAATCCTTCAGCCAACCACCACCGGAGGGAGATGGGGCCAGACACCCTTGTTGCAGGACAATTTGCGGGGTTCAGAGTGCTCCAGTGAGGAAACCCACCAACCGGGAATGTTTTGGACCAGCCCCTCAATGAACCTTGCCAATTTACAGGTGGAGTTCTCATCTTCACACTTTGGACAGTTGCCAGATCTCACTTGTTTTGAACACATAGAAGTTGTTGTGAAATCACCAAATGTTAAACCAAATAAATCTGTTAATATTTCAAAAGAGGCTCAGTTGTCATTTCCCGCCAAAAGAGAGGAGCTGCTTCAAATTTCTAATGAACCCGATCACGCAATATAAATAAAAGAAGAAGCTGAGTGGTGCTTTCAGTGTCTAAGAGAGCAAACTATGAACAAATTATGTAAAACAGAAAACTTCCATTTTAAGTATATTAATAAAAATAAAGTAAAAGTTGTAACAGTTTGGTCACAATAGTTCTTACATACTGTGGCCAGTATAAATCTCTCTGTGTGTGAAATGGTCCTCAATATACTCACAGCAAAGAAGCTTTATGAACTGATAGAACTGATTCTCACTTTTAATACTTATCCACCAGGATTAAAAAAAAACTTTAATTATTTTGTTTTGCCCTTTAATTATTTTGTTTTTCTTGGGGAATGTTTTTTTCAGTGGGGGAGTTGCATTCCAGTTTACTTTAGCTGTGTCTGTGCCTTTGTCCTAGTGTCTGTGGGAGCATGTGCAATTAAAACTCCCTGAGATCAGCTGTGATGTCAGATATGCGGATTTTCTCCTCAAAAGAGAGCAAAGGGAAAGACAAGAAATCTTGTTTCCCTCCCCACCTGAAAAGCTCATTAATTTCACCTGAACACAGCAGGAAATTGCTGAATGAGGAACCTCCCCAACACAGGTACCTCTTGCCCTCTGTTTCATGTATACTTTCTTAAGGATTTGTTTTCCACACCTTTCTTTCCATTTCTTTCTCTTCAATTTATGAAAGTAATTTCTCCCATCCCCACAGTCTATAAAAAGGGCAGAGCACGTACATATCTTTTCCAAAGAGCGGAGAGAGAGAGAGGAAGAGAGAAATGAACAGGGAAGGAATGGGCAAGTTGGAGGAGGAAGTAAAGAACAAATTAATGTGAAAACTCAGATTACATTCAAGAAAAAATTAAAACAGCTATGGATGCTTGGAGTGTGTCATTCGAGAACTGTGGGGGAAAGTAGTCACAGTTCCAGCACACATCAGTGTGAACAATACACCTTATTTGGATGAACCCGCTGTTACTTCTGCTCCTCAGCATCATGGTTCACAGATAAACAGCATGGCACATATCTTGTCCTTTTTTGGCTGGAGCAAAAGAGTATTCTAGTGGCAAAAATTGTTAGCACAATTTTTATCCTGATTGGATAAAACCTATTGTAATCCATACCTATTGTAATCCAACTGTATGGCCCATGGCTGAAGCTCAAGGATACTGTTTAAAATTCATCAGCTGACAATTGTAGAATGCCTACCTTTTATGTCTAATTCTACGTGGATCCTGAATTACCATATTTACTGAGTATAAGACTCCCCCTTTCTAACTCAAAATGTCTTTCTTTTTAAGAAAGTGGAGGGGGAAGGTAGGGATCAAAGCGCTTTGATTCCTACTTTCCCCCTTCACTTTTTTGGGAAGGAAATGTTTCCCCCTCCACTTTCTGTGCAAAAAGCTGCTTTCCCCTTCCACTTGTTGCAAAAAAAGTGTAGGGGGTGCTTTCCCTCTCCAGTTTCTTTGCAAAAAGTGGAGGGGGGAAGCAGGGTCAAAATGCTTTGATCCCTCCCCCCCTCCTCACTACTGTGTATAAAACAACCCTCAATTTTTCCTCTAATTATTTTAGGAAAAAGTTTCATTTTATACATGGAAAAATACGGTAAATGTGACTTGAGGACTCCTTTCAACTTCAAAGGTTGGTTTTTCTTTTCTGTTTTACCTTTCTCCTTTAGGCTTCCCCATCCAGCTATGTAACATGAAGTTTCCTTGGTTATAAAAACAGAACTGTCAGGTATGCAGATGGGCTGTATATAGTCATTGAATATGACAGATTTTTGTAGCTTTATCATAGCAATATCATTTTCATATGTCTCCTTCTTAAAATCAGAATGAATCATGATAGCTTGGACCAGGCATTTTATAGTATGAGTTTGGTATTTTAAAAGGTGATGCAAACCAATCACAACTCTCCAGAAGTCTGGATGCCTAGGAGAAAATGAAACTATTTGTAAAATAAATAATTGCTATTTACCAATTATGCCAGATACTATATACATGAAAACCGTCTTTAAAATTACAGTATACAAGTATGAATGAATCCCCTTCAATGTTTTAAAAACCACTCCTGAGTCATAACTAGAATTCTCAAAACAAATACTTCCTTCTAGTGTGGTTCAAGTAGAATCTTATCTATCTCTATATAACACTAATAAACCACTCAAACTACTTGCACATCTTTCCTAGTCAGATAAGAGCATGGTTATTTCATTAAATTCTCTGCAACCCATCTCTCATGATTCAGTGAAGTACAGTACTCAGAATTCTAATGCCTAGGACCAAACACTTAGTAGCTAAAAATGCATCTGTATCCTTCTAGTTGGCATTTAATAAAAAGTAGCATGGATCACACAAAATGTATAGAAATAATTGAGAATTATGTTTATTCTTGTGTAAATCTTGTCCTAAAACAACCAGAAGGCTCCAGAATTTGACTGAAGTCTTCCACACAAATCATGTTTGTGTTTTGTAGCTGTGCAGCCTTTCACTTCTTTGGGCTGCTTCTTCCTCCACCCTTTCTCTCGCCTCCAGCTTGCTTTCATGTTCTTAAAAATTCCAGATAGCCTAGATCCAACTTGCTTTCCCCTGGCCTTACAGTAATATTTTTTGCTTCCTCCTTCCCTTATTCATAAGCTGTAGATACTGCTGCTGTACCTCATCCATCTATATATGGACAGAAGAGGGGGACTGCTCAGCTGGCATCTGACAGCATCGAAACATTGGCAATACAGGTAGTCTTTCTGTCATGCATCCCACAGCTATTCACATTCTACTCAGTTAAACAATTATAGATACCAAAGAGACAAACGATACTTAGAACTTGCCAGTAGTGAGAGTGACCCTACAAGCAAATTTAAGATAAAGTAGGTTCAAATGCTAATTATTTTATAAACATCCAAATTCAATAATACTTTTTATTTCACCAAATGAAAAAGAAAAAAATACAGAATCAAAGGATACATACGTCCATTGTCTAATGCAGTGTGCTGCTGTCACCACTGTGTTATTATTAATTAAAGATCCACCACACACATGGTGATATCCTACACCAAATCGATAAACTTGAAGACTAACTTGCCATGGCCAGGCCCCAGGCTGTGCATCATGTCCGCCTACAATCCGAGGCTTTGTTCCAAGGCCCATAAGGGGCCTTGTTCCACACTCTAGAAATCAAAACACAGTTACTCTTTAAGATGAAACACTTGTAAGAATTCCATAAAACACAGCTTTCATTTGGTGACAATTTAAAGGTAGAGTATATCTATGACTCAGTTTTAAACAGATTAGTTTGCTATAGCATCAGTCCAGCACAGTAATTCTGTTACAAAACAACTTCATTTGGAAAGAATATGCAAGCCTGAAGCTATCAATTTCTGTATTATTTGGGGGATAACCGGAGCTGAGCTACCCTGACCCTGATTAGTCAGTGGAATCTGAATGTGTTTCATTTTGGCCCAAAGTTTGTATTATTTGGAAGCTCCAAACATATTGCCAGAATAATATGTTATGTAAATGTACTTTGGATCATAACTATTTAATTCTGGTATAGTAAAAGCACATGCTTTTCTTAACCCAAGACCCATACATTTTAACAAAGAAACATTCAAGCTACTGTAGACCAAAATTGCTCTTAATTTTGTTTACTAATTTTGCCAGAAGTGTTACATCCAATGTGTGTTGCACCTACACACATTAAAATATCCACTCCATATCTTGTACATGAAATATAACAGAAAGCATCTTCACTCCAAGCTTTGCAGCCACCTATTGTTTAGAGGAAAACTGATGGACCCTCTATCATTTTCATGCTCTCTAGAAACTTGGGGACTAAAACTCTGACCGATCTCTCAGGAAATATTAAAAACATTGCTTCTGGGTAAAACCTAGAAACTAAACACACATTATGCGAATAAATCCACAACAACTAGTATGTGGTGATAACGTTGCTTTTCTTTGAATCTAACAACCGTCACAGCACACAAGATAGACTGTGTCCTCCTCGTTAAATTTTCCTCACAGTAAGGCACTTCAGGCAGGACCTCGTATCGGTTTTTCTTGAAAGAGTCATGCGCTCAAGAGCAGTCAAACAGGCACCATTTACGGCTTCCTTTACCAAGCTCTCTACATCTCGCTGAAATCTGCCCTTTAATGGCGACCGTTTTACACACTTTGTACCATAACCGCACTCATAGCAACGGCAGTTCTGAAAATATTATTAAAAATTACAAGGGTGTTTCCCGTCACGGGAATTCAGGGCAAGCAGCTCGGGACTGCTTAAGGAGTTTCGTCGCTCCCCACTCCCACTTGTACCAGAGAGCAGGCCGCTGGGACTCGTCGCCGGGGTAATAATATCCCACTTCCTCGGGATACTCTCTGCGCAGCCGCACTCCACCTCCAGGCCTTCCCGGCAAGTTGTCGCTCGACGACAGAGGGAGCGAGTCTTTCGTGACCGAACTGCTTCGACGCCCTGCGCCAAGATATACCGCTCTGGATGTGGCAGAAGGCAGGGAAAGCCGGACTCACCATCATAAAACTTCTCAGCGAGCAGGGCTTCGGTCAGGGGTTCATTCAAGAGCACAAGTAGCGCCCAAAAGGAAGCAGGGGGTGGGCGAAAAAGCCGCCTCATCTTCCTACCGGAAAACAACGCCCCCCCCCCACTTTGGTCGGGTTGTGGGGAATAACCGTCCTGTGACGGGAGAAAGAGAGCGGCGGGGCGGCGGCCCGAACACTCCCCGTCGAACGCGTCTTCCCCCAGCCTGGCCCGTCTTCGTCGTGACCCGCCTCTTTCCCTCGCTTTCTACGGGTCTCTTGTCATCTCCCTGATACCCTTTAGACGGGGTGGGGGGTTATAAGTAAGAGACCCAAAGATTGAGAGCGAACGAAGGACGTGCGAGGGCGCAGCAGAAGGGGGCCGGGCGTGACATAATACTTCAGTAAGGCTTCAGCAACCGTTTGGCAGCCCAGCTTTTAGCACATTCAAACGAAGTCTTCTGGGACGCTACAGAATGTAGCAGGGAGGTGACGGGATATGGGATGTCACTTCAGCATCATCAAGAAGGCAGTGATTGAATGCTACTTCTGCTTTCAGAAATATTCCGGGTTTTGCCTCTTACTGCACAACCCTTAAGAGCCATTTAGAGCTGGGTTCAAATTGCTTTGCCATGGGGGGATTCAATGGGGGAATGGCAGCAACCATAACACTACAGTATTTTTAAAAATTTCTCAGATCCCTGGAGACCCCAAGTAGGATGCAAAGTTGACAGTACGTAACACAATCCTATGCAATAAGTGTTAACAGTTATTACAAGCAAAGTATGCCTAAGCTCAATGCCTTTGTCTAATTGCTTCATCAACATCAATTTACTGTATTAAATATTTTATTTCCTATCTCTCAAGAGACAAAAATTTTGTCTAGTATATGCAAGAAATTTTGGGATGATTAAGGTGACCTGATGCAAACGGAGCATAACTCCTTTGACAAGACTAGGGAGAATGGATTTTGGATTTTTCTCAACAGAATTACACTTGCTATCTTTCCTTCTTGTCTGCAATTATTATGAAGCTGCAAGTACAGTATATTTATCTGAATTTCTTAGCTCTGAAAAAAGTAGCATATGACTGCAGGATAGAGCTACTCTGTTTCCCCTAAAATAAGACCTAAACTGAAAATAAGCCTTAGTATGATTTTTCAGGATGCTCACAATATAAGCCCTACCCCCAAAATAAGCCCTAGTTAAGTGAAACCCCGCCCTCCACCATTGTGCAGCAACCAGAACATGACATGACTATAAAATAAAACATCCCCTGAAAATAAACCCTAATGCGGTTTTTGGAGCAAAAATTAATGTAAGACCCTGTCTTATTTTAGGGAAACACTGTTGAACTTCTTTTTGCACCTTTTCGTTTAAGGTGATCCCACCATATGGTAAATGGGCTGCAGAGAATGACAGAAAGGTGCTTTAACATTTTACATCCTGGCTTTCCAAAACCACTGAAACACAAGTAGCTCAGGTCATTATTAAAGAATTAGCAGAAATGCCAAGCTTCAGAAGTGCTAGAAATATATTTGTCTCCCCAAGTCTTCCCACTTGGTACTTTTTATCCCCCTCCTTTTCTTTCTCTCCATCCTTGTATTTTATCTCCTCCCATTACTCAACTACCAAGCATCAGGATTTTTAACTCGCATAAATGTTTGACTTGTCTGGTGGCCATGCAGAAGGAAGATTCATCAAACTGCCTCACATATCCTAGGTATGACTGGTATTTTATTGTTGCCAGTGACTGAAAATTACACAGCTTTAAAACTAAAATTTACCACTCAGAAAACAACCTTAGGACATAAATCCATAGTGTCCCTTACTATCTATGCTAAGTTTTAATATCTAGCTTTCACAGTCTTGGAGCTGTAGTGGAGACACATACATATGGATGTTTTCTCTTTTGTTAGTATTTTTAAATTAATCAATAATCAACATAATACTGCACTAAAAATGGTGCACCACTAAGTAAATATTAATACCATGTTTTCCTGAAAATAAGACAGGGTCTTATATTAATTTTTGCTCCAAAAATGCATCAGGGGATGTTTTATTTTTTTCATGTACAGCAATCTACATTTATTTAAATACAGTCCTGACTTCTGGTTGCTTGACAGCAGTGGAGGATGGGGTTTCACTTGACTAGGGCTTATTTTTGAGGTAGGGCTTATATTATGAGCATCCTGAAAAATCATACTAGGGCTTATTTTCAGGGAAATAGAGTAACTTAATATTAAATATTAGCAAATATTAAATTTTAAAAACTAAGTTTGAGGCAGAATAGCCTCCAGCTATTCAGTAAAGAATCATTAAGACTGAAACTCCTGATAATCAAAATCAAAACCTGTTTTTCATATACAGTACTATGAAAGTAACAGTGGGCAAAAGCTTATGGGATTGGTACTTGAAGACTGAACTCTTTATTTTTTGTAGTAATGTTCACATTTTTATTCTGATGCAATAGTAAATGAAGGAGTGAAGACATATTAAATCTGGTTTTGAAGCAGGACATCTGTGTTTAAGTACAGGATATCTTGTTTTCAAAATGCTGCAGATAACATGGCAACATCTGGCATGTACATGCCTGTCCTTTATACTGTATTAGCAAAGATAATTGTTAATTAAATGTGTTATTTTAATTTTTTGTTGGCAAGGGAGACAGTAATAGATTACAATTTATTACAACACTGGTTGATGATAGGTTTAAGTATGTTTTATAAATTATGCTTTCTCTATTTTAGCTCATTATGAAGCATATGATATCAGGTAATTTATAGCACATAAAATACAGAAATGACTGTCTTTGGGTCTGTATTTTTAAATTATAAATGAAATAGATTTGTGAAAATCTGGGAGACAAAATAAGTAACTGTTTAAATAACCAACTTCAAAATACCTACATACTAAAAGAAAGTAGTAAGGTTAAAACATAATCCAAAGTAATTTTAGTATAATGGAAGATTAATCATAGTCAGAAAGAGAAGTATGTGTTGAATGCACTTAGCGGTAGTTTTGCTGCGAAGTTTTAAATCCACCCATTTCCTGTACTTAGCTAAATGTACATAAACTCCTGGAAGTCTGGGTCGGCCACAACCATAGCCATGACTGGTGATTCCTATCAAGTAGAACTTCTTGTCATTTGGGAAACAGCACATTAGAGGTCCACCACTGTCTCCCTGAAAGATTAAAAAAACAAAATTAACTGCTTATAAAATGTATGGAGAGAGACTAGCTGTATTCACATGCATAGCATGCCAAGTTTCTGGAGAATCCTGGTTTGTTATGACAAAAGCTGCATTTGATACACATAGATCTTTCTCGTCCATCTTTTTCACTAGCAGGTACAGTATAGCTAAATGACCTAAAAATGATCACTATCCCAGGTTCTTTGCTTGCTGCATCAATTAGAAGCCAAAACTGAAAAACACTGTTTATTCTTGGCTTACCATTCCTGACTTGTTTTAGTATGAGTCTGGACTTCATTAATATTTTAAGCTTTTGTTTACTTAAGCAATTCAAACTAATGGGAGGAACAGGATAAAAAATAGGGAGCATACACCACCATGTCTTTTTTTACAGTCAGCCGACTGTGAAATATATAGAAATCTGGCTTTCCACTGAGAGTGCTATCACTATAATATGTCCAAGTTACCCCTTTCATGATTCATCAAGGAAATACAGATTGCTGAGAAATGCAGATGAACTAAAGATATAGTGTTATCTAAACTTCACTAAATACCCATATGCCACTTTTAATTTATTCATACTTGACCTTTTAAAAACAGCAGTGCCAGGTTTGCAACTGGAATTGCTTGACCTTTAATTTCTCATTCATAAATATCCTAACTACTCTGGGATCTTTAGATGAAGTTTAATATAACTTCATCTAAAAAATAAAACTGTATGATTTAACAGTTTGCTTTTAAAAATAATGCCCTTTTTACCTTGCAGCTATCAACACGCCCACTTTCAGAGCCAGCACAAAGATAATTCTTTGATACCATTCCCTCATACCAGTCAAAACTATTACAGATTTTTCGGGGAATAATTTCTACTTCAGCAACTTGTAATATTTGACTACGTGAACCTGAAAGGAAAACATAAAATAGGTTTGGTTAAATAGCAAAAATCCTCTTACTTATACCCACAGTGGAACCAGTGTCATCTTCAACAGTAAATTGCCACTAGTTAAAAAGCAAGTGCGTGTTTTTCTCACACAACTTTATGTGGGATAAGGAAAACAATCACCAACATTTTTATTGGTAGAAATTTGCCATCAGAATTTATGCTACATTATTGGTGTCAATATAGGATTTCAGCTAGTGTTTATAATTTTCATTAACTATCCTACATTTTATAGAATTCACAAGTCAAAACAAAAATACAGGCAGACCTATCCATCAGGGTACACAGAGTATTTTTCCTGTGTGTTTAGCAGTTCTGAGCTCTTTGTTTTTCCCCCTTTCCAATAATTCCACCAGGAGGGAAATAAATTATGTTAGGGTCCAAGTCAAGTTATCATCATGGCTTGCTCCCAAGAGATATGTAGGAAGAACTGTCTTTTAATGTTCACTGCCTAGCAAAGGGAATGAGAAAGGAACCATTTCACACATACTATTTGTATTTATACATAAGTTTTTCTGTGCATTTATTTATTTATTTATTTATTTATTTATTTATTTTTACATTTTTAAAGTAGAAATGAACAAAACAAGGAATACTGTTAGGTGAACTTGGCAGAATATCAGGTCTGGGAACAGCTTCCCATAGAATGTATGCTCATTGGCAAACATGGGTTCCTCTGTATGTAGTGTGTGAAAGAGCTTCACATATCACTGAAAAAGAACTTTCTGAGTTCATTCAGCTATTCTTTCTTACTCTTAATAAGAGATTAGTTTAAAGAAAAAATAAATTGAAGATTTACCATTCTCCCTTTTCACTCCCCATCCACTTATATAACATGTAGTCTCTTTATTCAGGGGAAGAGAAATATTAGGTAAGCAGATAGGCTGAACATAATTATTGTATGTAATGAACTTGCTTAATGTAAACAAGGCAATATCGTGTTCAAGGGTGATCTTGTTGAAGTCAGAATGGATTGTGATAATCCTAATCCGGCTCTTTATAGTATGATTCCTGTGATAATAAAGATGATGCAAACCAATCACAGCCCTCCAAACATCTGGGATCCTAGGAAAAGAAAAAAGGTCTTTAAGAGTGAATTACCATTATACAATGGAAACTTCAAAAAGATGAGAATTTTGTCATTCACAGGCAAAAGTAATTAAACTGGTAGCAAGAGAAATATGAAGACCGTTAACTATCAAAGCAGCATTTATGTCCAAAACTCTTCTCATATCAAAATGAAAATGTGTACAAGAGGAGTCCTACTCAAGCATTACACAAGCCTACATGATTAACATACAAGGAGGAGAGTGCTATAGCTGCACCTTTGTCCGAGACTACTCCTCAGAAAGAGAAAGCCTTGGCAAGGCAATTCATTTCTATATAGATTTGTTGCAGCTGTTTATGTGATCCAGAATGCCAATTTTCAGACTTCGAGATCATGTCAAGAGCTTCTACAGATCAAAGAGGTCCTTCTTTTCAAAAAGTCTGTAAGAAGGGCAATGGAATTGACATTAGAAAGGCAGGGTAAGAGCAATTCCCCCTTCCTCACATGTTTCTTTTATGCCTGAACATTGCTAATAGTTTCACTTCAAATCAAGAATTATCTGCAAAGAGCAAACTGGTAATCTCATTATGGCACCATATTCAGTAAAATTATAGCAGCAAGGAGGGAGATAATTAAACTGTTCACTGAAACAGCACCAGAAATGCTAATGTGGGGATTCAAAGAACTGAGTCTATAACATTACGCACTCACCTGGAGCCTTGGGTTCTTGTTTCTTAAGCAGTAGTTGCCCCATACATACCTCTTCTGAAAAAACTGAGTGGTGATGCATGGCCAGTTTGTGAGTCAGCATGGTGGCCTGACAAAGAAAATGGTCACACTGGGCATGCTGTACAGTTCTTCATAATCAAATGGCAAGGGTCATACTGCTGATCATACTTTGCAGAATTTGTGATCAGTTTTCCATTTTGATGACAGATTTGGCGGTTATGCTGAAAATGTATTAGCAAAAGCCCCAAAATATCCTGCAGTTTTCAAGTGGCAAGTGTAAATAAAACACAGAAAAAAAAACTGTCATGGCAAATGTGTTGATGAAGAAATAAAAAAGCCTGCATAACCCAAAGAAGCCATAATTTGAGCAAAAGAAGGTGATAAATGCTGTTCTCATTTGTACACTAAAATGGGTTAATAACCTCCCTTGCCAAATAACTCTTTAAAATCCAAAGTTAGAATCAGTTGCTTATCTGAAACTACAGTTCTTTTGAGTGATCAACTGAGCTGCCACACAAACAGGTTCTGCAACTCTGTAGAACTCCATCAGTAAATCTCTATACCTAAGCTGAAGTTTTGGAAGGAGCTTTTACATGTTTGTGTTCAAGACGCGTGATTCCCAGTTTTTTCTTTCAACTAATCCAGTGATATACAGTACAAGAAAGATACACATATAAGGAGACAAAGAGTTGAATGAAGAAGCAAAGTAGGAGGTGAGATGGTTTGATGCATAAATGGCCTTGCAAAGGTCTAGCTTTACAGGAGAAAAACATGTTTTCCTTATTTCCGTTCTCTGTGCAGGATGGGGTGTCGGAGACAGAGGAGATGCATAAGGTGCAGGCACAAAGAGCATTGCTATTGTGACAAAGGCATCCAGTTAGGTTCCAACATCAAGCTAGCAGTAAAAGATCACCCTATATGGCTGAAACTACATAGCAACACAGTCCATCACTATGCCTGCACAGAGGAAGCTATAGGTGGGAGCCATGTAACCAGAAAATCATTTTGTAATTGCAGGGTCCCTCTAAATGCCTTTCCAGCTAGAAAATGAATCAAAAATTTAAATTCTGCTCATGGAAATATCCTGAATTCACTATTCTCCAACAGCAGAACATTGCTATGGGTGAACATTGCTATGGGTGAGTGGATGAGGGCTCTGTAACCTCCCCTCAAAACAGGAAGTGTGCTTCCAATTACTTCAGATTTTGAAAGAAATACACCCATCCACAGCTTTTTGAGGAAATGCAACCCATCTAGGCTTCCTGGAGAGCAAAACTGGGCCCTGCATCTTACTACCCCCACCCAGCTATAGATACTGCAACAGTCCTAGGAAGTGAGCTTTGTACAGCCATAGACAGAAGCAACACTTGGCACAGGCTTAACTGCAGACGTACCTGATACCTTCAATCTCGATACAAATCAAAGACACATTACATAAGTGGCCCCACAATGAGACACTAAAGTAAGTGTCTTGCCCTGAAACTACAGTGGACCCTCGACTTACAGACGGCTCGACTTATAAACTTTTCGAGTTACAGACTTCTCTGGCTGCAGAATTTAGGTTCGACTCGCAGCTGGAGAATCAACCTACAGACCAGAAAAAACCCCAAATGGAACAAAAATGGCCGGTTACAGATTAATCGGTTTTCAATGCATTGTAGGTCAATGGAGACTCGACCTACAGACTTTTCGACCAGCAGCCACCGTTCCAATATGAATTAATTCCGTAAGTAGAGGGTCCACTGTAGCCTCAAATACAAAATTGGTCATCTCAAAGTAAAGAGATACTGTAGTTCTGATTTCACAGATTCATTACTGTTACACAAAACAGGAAAAATGAATTACTCAGTAGTTGCCATCACAAAGCCCAACAGCTTGCATGTCTTTAATTCCCTTAAAGGTTTGAATATCAGCAACATTTGAAGTGAGCATCTGTAGCAATGTGATTGTTGCTCTCCATTAAGATGATCTGAGTACTCCATTATGATGATCAAAGGATTAATAAAAAGGTTACAAGAATGAATTTTCAGTGTTTATGTTGAAGCTTTGAAAACAAACATCACAACATAGTAACCATATAACGAGGGTTCAGTGGTGCCATAGAGTCACTAGAAAGCAGTTGTGTATGTATGGTAAAAATAGCAATCCTTTCGCAACGCAGATTACAACAATCCTTCATCTAGTAAGGATTCTTGAAAACATGACAAGATCAAGCAGGATGACTGGAACACTATAATCCCCACAGTTACACCCAAGGAAGCCACATTAACTGTCAACTGTGAATGTAAAAAAAGGCATCTTTGATATCTTCACTGCAATAAGAAAAGGTATGGGTTACTGAAGAGACCTTCACCCTCCCTGGCCAGGAGCTGTGAAATGCAGATACTCACTGCTGAGGCTGCTATGGGCACTGGCTCTCCTCCTCACTAGAGAAAAGCTCCTATCTCCCTTCCCCACAAACACAGACAAATAATAGGAAAAAGAGCACATTTGCCACATAGCCAATCCAGAGGACAATCAGCATCTACTGGTCCCAGGGTTGACTTGCTCCTAGTCTGCTTTATGAAGCCTTGCTGGTTATTACCAAATACTCTTACATACATATAGGCTGAAACGGCACATGGGGGAAACTGGTGGGATTTAGTAGCTGCTGTTGCTGAATATGATGCAAATCCAATTGGTTTTAAAATGGTGTCAATACATGCTTTTAAAGGGAGTTCTGTTGCCAACCACCTGACCAGTGCTGGGAAGCTGCCAGCACCAGGGTCAGAGCAGAAGAGTCCTCATTTGCTCAACATTTATTTATTTATTTATTTTATTTATATCCTCTCTATCTAATCAATTAAGATTACTCTAGGCGGCTGACAACAATAAAACAACAACAATATAGTTAAAACAATTTTACAAAGGAAAAGTTGCAGCAAGATGGGACAGAACTAGGGAGTGGAAGGGGGATCAGGAACTGACAACATGCAGAGAAAATAAAGCCACTGGAGCTGCCCCCTCCCCCCTGTCCCAGGCAAGAACAACATGGATAGCCCCAGTGCGGGATGCTTCCCAGATACGTTGGCACTGGTCAACTGGCAATGAAGATTTTGCCAGGTAGGCACAAGTCCAGCAGCTCCATTTTTAATGGACATAAAGCAGGTGAGAACTCTGTTACTCCATTCCCAGTGCTGTCAGCAGCCAGGAAGCCTGCCTGCACTGGCCAGCCAGCTGGGATTGCATGTCCTGAAAACACGTTTGTGCCTGTTTGCAGAAGTTTTATTGTGGTTTATTGATAATGTGTAATTCCTGTCACAAATGCTAGAAGGGACTAAGTACCAAGGCCACCGACTATCCAGTAGAGTCCCAATGTGAATTAAACTTTGGCCCCTGTTTCTCCTGTATTAATGGATACATTTCAGGCATTGGGGATGTGGACAGGACTCACAAATAATATATACTCCCTGCAAAGAGTTTGCCAGGCAACGGAGCATAGAGCACCACACCTGATAGTTTGAAATCACATCCAGTGACACATGATCTCTGAGCCTGTACATCTGGTACTTTATGGCTGTAACCTCATAGACTTGCTGCACTAGCAGTGGGATCAGATAGGCATAAATTCCATGAAGCCTTCCTCAAAAAGATTAATGCCTATAGACCTATAGAGACACACAGCTAGAAACCCAATCTTGATGTGCTTTGCTGAAAAAAGTAAAAAAATGCAGGTGGGTTCCTGGACATATGGAAGCAGATGAAAGGTAAGAAAGAAAAATTGTTTTTTTTTCTTTGTTTCCTCTGTCTCAATTTAAGAAGTAGTGCAGCACACTTAAGTGCTATTGCTGTGGCAGTAAAAAAAAAGGAGAAGAAATGTGGGAACCATGCATTTTCATGCACTTATGTGTGTGTGTGTGAGTTGCTGTCGATACTCTAATTTTAAATGTTTCCCAATGAAGCTCTATACAGGTACAGAAGACATATTTATGATGGTACAGAGACCACAAAAACCAGGTGACAATGTTTCCTCTAAGCTGTGTGGGTGTGCAGCTGTGCTGCACTGCATCAGTGCTCTGCACCTGCAGCCAGTGTTGCTCCCCATTTGGTTCCAGTAGCAGCCAGAAGCCCATGTGCATGGGGCAAGGCCCCCACCTAGTGGTGGCAGAAAATTAGAGGGACCCTTGCCAGGTGGGTTTGAAATGAACCTGCAAGCATACTGGAGCAAGTTTATTTCTTAATGAAATAGTTAAGGTACACTTGACTCTTGGTACTTTAAGCAATTTTAGCTTCCTGTTTCTTAATCTTCCCAACATCAGAATAAGCACACTGGAAATCAGACACAATATATTTGCCTTTTAAAAGCAACCTGATTCCAGCCATAATGAACTGTTTTTCCTCTCCAAACAATATAGTATTTTCTCTAATATAAGGACTCAGCAAAGCATACTGTGCATTTGCACATTGTCTATGTTTTAGTATTAATAATTAATTGAACAAGCTCTGGATGACTGAAGGGGTTACAAAACATCTGGAAAAAAGTCCATAAAGATGTTCTTATATGCACTACGTTGTTTTCCTGAACTAGTAATCATAAATAGCGTTACTATTGATATTATGTAAGATTAATGAAGAGCCTTACCAAAAGAATGTGGACAGAATATGCAGATGAACAATAGTTAAAGAACACCAGCCCCAAAGTCCCTTTTAGATAGGTACATGATTTCCCTTCCATACTTGGACTCTTTTTGTCTCCATTCTTAACCACAGATCTCTGTTGCTCCTTCTCTACCTCCTGGTCCTGTTTTATGCCTATCCTCTTGGACCACTGGAACATGATGAGCCATCATGAAAAGTGTGGATAGGAGAGGGTTCTAATTCACAGAAGCTTTGTACATAAAACACTTTACTGTGTTTGTCTGAATAGCTGTTTCTTGAGTCAACTGTCATTCTTGAGAGTGTATTTCCAGGTAAAAAGTGGCAGATATTCCAAATACAACCTATAGCCTTATACTCTTCTCCTGGCTTGGCAAAACAGTTTGGGAAGAGAAAACTCAATTCAGAAACAGATTTTTTTTTAAAAATGGAATTGTTGTTGTTTAGTTGTTGAGTCATGTCCAACTCTTCATGACCCCATGGACCAGAGCACACCAGGCCCTCCTGTCTTCCACTGCCTTCCAGAGTTTGGTCAAATTCATGTTGGTAGCTTCAATGACACTGTCCATCCATCTCGTCTTCTGTCGTGCCTTTTTCCTCTTGCCTTCACAGTTTCCCAACATCAGGGTCTTCTCCAGGGAGTCTTCTCTTCTCATGAGATGGCCAAAGTATTAGAGCCTCAGCTTCAGGTTCTATCCTTTCAGTGAGCACTCAGGAAAAATGGAATACATACATTTATAGACTCATGCAATGCATTTTACTCAATATACTTTTATCACATCATGGAAGTTACAGAAATAAATATAGACTTGATACTTACATTCTTTTTCGGGCACAGTGTGCAGCTGTCAGCACTGAGTTGTTATTAATCAAAGACCCACCACATACATGGACATATCCTATACCAAGGCGGTAAATTTGAAGACTAACTTGCCATGGCCACGCCCCAGGCTGTGCGTCTTGTCCACCTATAATCCGAGTCCCTGTTTCCATCTCATCCAAAGCTGGCCTTGTTCCACATTCTAGGGGGGGAAATGATGATGATGATGATGAAAACACATAACCGGGTTGTGAGTCTAGATCTAAATCCACATTACATACTGGCTGCATCTGCAATTTCTAACAGCATGTGAAAACTCCCAGACATAAGCCATCCAAAGTAATGGCCTAGCTACTAGATGGGCTGAGAAAATAAACAAACAACTTTTACAAGTAATGGAAACTGATCAAGTTATTAGTATAGAAGTGAGCAAGACAATAATGTACTGGTCTCCTGCCTATCTGATGTCCTTGGTAAGTTCACAGTGACCAAAGCCAAATTAGCTTCCTTCTCTCTAGAAATGTGCTATTCATTTAGCAGCTAGAGCCACATAACAACACAAATGCTTTTGTTCAAATACACTTAGGCATTTATTCACAATGGTGGCAAAACAGCTTACAGTATCTGTTTCCCCATTCTTAGAAGTTACTAGTATACCACCCAGAGAGTCTGCACTAATGGGACAGGGCAGAGTTTAAAAAAAGTAAATATGACTAAAAGTTTCATGGTGACCATATAACAAACACTTTTGTACTTAAATTACCTATCTGATCTCTTTTAACATTAAAATAATTATAAAACAAGCCTTCAGATGCATCAGTGACTTCATCAGAATGGAATGTGTATCCACAGCATCAGTGTTCAATTAGCAAATCAATCTGCAATCAAATCAAACCCAGTGCCAAAGCAAGCACATACACTGATCAGCCACAACATCAAAACCACTGACAGGTGAAATGAATAGCACTGATTCTATTGTTACAATGGCATTTGTCGAGGGGTGGAATATATTAAGCAGCAGGTGAACAGGTAGTTCTTGAATTTCATGTATTGGAAGCAGGAAATATGAACAAGCAGAAATATATGAATAATTCTGAGAAGGGCTAAATAGCACTGATTATATTGTTACAATGGCATTTGTCAAGGGGTAGAATATATTAAGCAGCAGGTGAACAGGTAGTTCTTGAATTTCATGTATTGGAAGCAGGAAATATGAACAAGCAGAAATATATGAATAATTCTGAGAAGGGCTAAATGGTGATGGCTAGACAACTGGGTCAGAGCATCTCTAAAATGCTAAGTCTTATGAGGATTTCCTGGTATGCAGTTGCACCAAAAGTGGTGCAGGGAAGGACAACCGGTGAACCGTCATCAGAGTTGTGGGTGCCAAAGGCTCACTGATGCTCATGGGGAGCGAAGGCTAACCTGCCTGGTCCTACTGTAGGTCAAATTACTGAAAAGCTTAATGCTGGCCATGACAGAAAGGTATCAGAACACACAGTACATTGCATTTTATTGAGCATGGGGCTGCATAGCAGCAGACTGGTCAGAGTGCCTACAATAACCCTTTCCACCACCAAAAAAACACCTATAATGGGAACATGAGCATCAGAACTGGACCATGGGGCAATAGAAAAAAGTTTCCTGGATTGATGTATCACTTTTTGTTTTAGATCAGGTGGGATGGTCAGATGCATGTGTGTCCTTTACCTGGGGAAGAGATGGCAGCAGGATGCACTATGGGAAGAAGGCAGGCTGGTAGAGGCAGTGTTATGTTCTGAGCAATGTTTTGTTGGGAAACCTTAGATCCTGGCATTCATGTAGATGTTATTTTGACACGACACATAGCACCTGCTTAGAGATTGTTGCAGACCACATAACCCCTTCATGGCAATAGTGTTCCCTGATGGCAGTGGCCTTTCAGCAGGATAATGCACCATACCACATTGCCAAAATTGTTCAGTAACTGTTTGAAGAACATGAAAGAGTTTAAGGTGTTGCCTTGGCCTCCAAATTCCCCAGATCTCAATATGATTGAGCATCTATGGGATGTTCTGAACACCAAATCCAATCTATGGAGGCTCTACCTTGCAACTTGTAGGACTTAAAGGATCTACTGCCAATGTTTTGGTGCCAGATACCACAGGACACACTCAGAATTCTCAACACATCAGGGCTTTTTCAGCAGCATGGGGGGACCTACACAATCTTAGGCAGCCCATTGATATATTGTGGCTGATCAATGTACAGTACTGTATATTCAAAAGAGTCATATGGATATATTGTAAAAATAACAAGAGGGCTTCAAAATGAGCAACCTTCAGTCCTTCGCCTAACTCCATACAGTTTGGTGAAGCACAAGGAGAAAGGAGGGCAAGGTTGGGGGAGACAGTGTAATGGGAGGAAGGAAGGAAACCGGGTGCAAGGAATTCACTGCTCTAGCAAGAGTGATGCACACCTGCAAGCTCAGTGGGGGGAAAAGAGCTAAAAAACCTGGCAGCCATGCTCACTACTGGCATGTGGCCAATAGTAAATAACCCCATGGAAAATCTGCCTTTTGCAGAAAAAGATATGTTCTAGCTTTGATCATGAGGTAGGTTCCATGGTTGAACTGTCTGAAGAATACAGCTTGATTCCCCACTGAAGGGGAAAAGAGAAGGGAAAAAATCCCAAATTTTATTGCACTAATTTGAAGCAAGACTCTCTAATTAGTGACAATCTGTACAGTACTTCCAAACTCCCTAGAAAAGACCCTGATGTTGGGAAAGTGTGAAGGCAGGAGAAGCAGGGGATGACAAAGGATGAAATGGTTGGGCAGTGTCATCCAAGCGACCAATATGAATTTGACCCAACTCCGGGAGGCAGTGGAAGACAGGAGGGCCTGGCGTGCTCTGGTCCATGGGGTCACGAAGAGTCGGACACGACTAAACAACAGCTGCTGTAGGTTGTGTCCTTATTGTGTCTCTTAAGAATATGACCACTGTGTGAATAATACTAAGCACACCGACAAACAAAAAGTAAAGCTACCACCTCCACTTACAAAGCTGTCTAAAGCCCTATATTGATAAACCCCGGGAGCCCTTTCAGAAGCCACCCCCCTCGCAGTTACAGCATCCCCTGCTTGTTGGCGCCACGGAAAGACTTCCTTGGTGCTCGATCCTGAGGCGCCCTCCCGAGCGACTAAGGCTGCCGTGTGTCCGCCTGGCGACCTGCCCGGCTTGTCTCCCTATGTAACGGATCCGAGGGTGGTCGTGACGGGCAGCGGAGAAGGGGATGGACATCCTCGCGAGGAAGGGGGGAAAGCAACCCTGCCGAGCCAGCTTCGGACTCAAGAGCGCGTAGCTTCCCAGGAGGCTTGAAGGACCCCCCCCCCCGACGCCTGTTCTTCCGACCTAAACTCCACCGATACGGTAATAATCGCAGACGTTTGCTGAGGGGAGGACGACACAAGGCGCTTTCGCCATCCTTTTCCCTGAAGGATTCTTCCCTCCTACCCGCCCCTCCAGGCATATCCATAATTCCACCCCATGACTCCCACCAAAACAAACGATGGGAGACCAGGAACCGAACACCCAAATAGTTGGCAACAGGTCTTGGTACTCTTTAATACAACAGGTTTTCTCGGCGGAACAGTGGTGACTTGTTACTCCACCCGAAAACTCTCTCAGCGTGAGGGCCGTCTGGCTCACGCCCGTCACCGTCATGAAGGGCTGCCCGGGATGGTGGTTTTTGACAAGGGACACGCCCCTTCCTCGTCCGTTCCCCCCCCCGTATACAAGCTCTATGCGCAGGCGCACTTCCTGTCCCGGCCTCAGCGGCACGTTAAAGCTCAGCGTGCCCGGCGGGAGGAGGCTCTTTTCGACGCCTTTACGCCGGGACGGAACGCCCTTAAGTAGCTGGGAAAGCGGAGCTCACCTTCTGAAGAACCCTCGGTGAGCAAGGCTTCGCTCAAGAGCACAACCAGCGCCCAAAAGGAATCGGCCGCGGGTCGGAAGCGCCACCGCATCGTCCCGTCCAGGACACAAGATGGCGCGCCCGGTGCTGTCACGTGGCGGGCGGGAGCGGGCGGGCAGGCAGGCTGGCAGGCGAGAACGAGCCGAGGCTTTCTTTCAGGGAGAGCTTGCTTGTCTGGTGGGCTTGTCTGTTCTTGGCCCTCTCCTTGACGCGACTCTTCAGGGGCTGCTTCTGTTCATGCGGCTCATTTAAAAGTATGTTAAAAATGACGGGCTAAGAAGCAGGCACAACGAGTTAACGGGGAACAGCTAGACACGACGTTCTGTTGCTGAACACGCTGGTTTGGAAATCCAGAAGTATCGTGGGATAAAACTACAAAGGTATAAAGATTAGTATAATGTCATTTCCTCCTCTACAGTCAAATGGAATGACATACGTAGAGGTAGAAGTAAACCTATGGATTCCAAATGTTTCTGAGTTTGTTGGTTGTAGGTTTTTCGGGTTGTCTGGCCGTGTTCTTGAGGTTTTTCTTCCTAACGTTCCGCCAGTCTCTGCGGCATCTTCAGAGGACAGGAGTCAGAGCATGGACAGAGTTCCTACTCCTGTTCCTCTGAAGATGCTGGCCACAGAGACTGGCAAAACGTCAGGAAGAACAACCTTCAGAACACGGCCAAAGAGCCCAAAAAACCCACAACAACCATTAGATCATGGACGTGAATGCCTTTGAGAATACATCCCAGGGTATTTTTCCAGACCCATCATGGTGTTGGCTAGGTAGCAATCGATGTAAATTTCAAGATATGGAAGGGCCTCCATCACAGACTAACTTATTTGCTTGTTTGCATCCTAACTAATCAGAGGTGCTTATTTTTGGCAGGCTAGATAAACTCTGCCCTTGTTTCCTCCCTTCTTCTCCAGACTCCATTTTGTCTCAGACTCATTTTCACCTTGGAAGATGCTAGATCGTCCTAGAGATCCTCACAGCCATGTGGGCTGAGGAAACAAACCTTATTTTTACTGTTGTCCTTTCCATCAACTTTAAGCCTAATGTGTGCCTGTTTTAGAAATCGATTTTAAGTGGGTAAAGCACACAAAATCTTTTATACTTAAAGGTTGCCTCCTGAATCTTATTTCCTAAAGTGCTAGGCTTTGGCGAGGGTAGATATTGAGAACAATTGGGTAAAAGGGGACTTCTACAGCTAATTCTAACCTTAAAGAGCTGGCCTTCTGCTGTGTATTTTACTGGAACTTAAGCAAGTTCCCTGAACTCTCAACACATGGGGGGGAGGTCACCTTTCCTGTTGGCCTGGGCAGTTTCAGGGTTCATGGGGCTGTCCCGGATATCTGGTAGCCATCATAACCATTACTTTCCTGCCCTTCTCCTTTTTCACTTGCCGGTTGGAATAAACCTGCTGATCTACATGCAGTAACGCAGCCGTGGGCAGCCCTATACTTCCATCCATTTTAGTGAGTTTTCGCCTGATGTCTGGGACTGAATGACTAATACACTCCTCTGGGTTTGATCTGGTGTATTTGGCAATGCCTGCTCTAAGCCTTTGTAAGGTCTCAGAGGGTGACTCCTTATCTCTCTGCCAGATCTCATCAACCTTTGACCAATTAGGAGCCACTACAACTGCGGTCTGCATAGCCTGCAGCAGATACTGGCAGAGTGGTGCAGTATTGGATCACCTACCGAGGATTCTCTGAAAAATTTCCAGCCTTCTCTTTAAACTCAGGAGGTCCAAGGGAGTCCAAGGCAGATGATGCATCGAAGTCAGAGTCTGTGCTGGTCCTCCTTGCTCCTTCTCCTGCTTGTCTGCTAATAAGGGTCTGAGTTACCAAAGCAAAGCTTGCTGCTTGCCAGTGAGAAAGCTGAGACAACTGCTGGCAGTGCTGGGGGCATTGGTGGAGGCATTGGCTCCCAGGCAGTAAAAGGGTTATTTGGACTTTGAGGGGCTGTTGGATACAAAGGTGCTGGTCCCGGTGCCGTGGGGTTCACACTGAGATACAGGATTTATCTGAGACATTTCACACTGTAACTTAACACAGGGGATGGGTTCAGGGAACCCATCAATAGCATTTTTAAAAACTCATGTAATCTTCCTCATCATAGTTTCCTACTGAATTAAACCATTCTATCCAGGCCTGGATTCTCAAGTGCTCAAATGAGCCATTAGCATCCCACTCTAAACCCGGGGGCCAATATTGTGGCCAGATCTTTGTACAGTATTTCACCATGGTTTTCTTTTTTCTAATTTTTTCCTACCTTGTTCCAAAATTTCAACACACACACATTTGAGCAGGATCAGAGGGCCGTTGCTCCCGGGATCCCTCTGAGACTGGCCGCTGCCCATCTTAAGAGAACGTTTCCTCTTGGGGCACTGATTAAAACGGCCACTGACCAGAGCAGGCCGACTCCAGACAGCCCTAAACTGACATGGGTAAACCAGAGGCGTGCTGAAGTACAATGCTTTGCGTAAGCATCTGTCATATGCAACAAGCCTCAGAACGGAGCTGGTCCATCTCCAACAGCGGCCAAAGGCAGATTCCCCTGGGAGTCTCCGGGAATTTGCACAGAGGGAGAACAATGCACACCACACTCACACACCGTAGGCACAGACTGAAAAGAGATGTGCAACTCACCAGATTTGCAGGTTTTCCAGAAGCCAAGAATGGTCCCCAAGGGTCACCCAGCTGTCTGAGCCGTTTCCATTCAGGGTTGTTCCGCCACCAGTCTACTCAGCCCTGTTCCGCAGAAGCCGAGGTGAAGACCAAACAACATCAAAGGCATCCGTGCCAGTAGTGGGTCAACTTGACATCTCACAATTGGCAGGCACAGGTTGGAGTCACCATTTCCCCTGTCCGCTATCCATGAAACTTTGAGGTATTCAAAATTGAGTTTGCCCATCCAGGGAAACAGTTATCCCCTGAGCTTGATAATTGTCTAATTTTATTAAGCAAAGCCTTGAGCAACAACAACAATAATAGGGCAGTTTCTTGGAGCAAAGGGCAACAGGTTTATTCAGATAAAAGTGTGCACTTGGATACCCAGCAGGGTGGGGACCGATCAATAGGGTTAAAGTTTTTATACAGTTCTAAAAAAAGAAACAAAAGTGCAGCAGTTCATTGGTCCTTGAAGACTATATGCATTGGTTACAATTTCTCGCATCTCAGCAAAGCAGTTAGTTTCTCATGCATAGAGCAGTTTCTCTCTAAGGAATGTTGACTCTTCCTTACAAAGCACGACTTCTTTGGCATTTGCTGCCTTCTTACAGTGTTGTGGATAGAGCAACGGCCTAGACCTCTGGAGAGCAGTGTTCAACCTGCTCAGCCATGGAAACTTCATGGGGGAGTAGAACTACTGGGAAAACTACTCCCTAAAATATCTTACCTGGAAGTCCTATTAGGGTCGCTGTAAGTCGATTCTGACTTGGCGGGACTGAATGCACAAAATTTTGCCTATGTTATTTAAAAGCTGTTCATACTCGATAAGAACTACAATAAAATGAGTACCTTCTAGATCTATTTTGTACTTGTTCTGCTTTGGGCCATCTACTGTGTGTCATTCAGACGAAAATCCTATCTTTGGAACAGTTTTCAACAGTTCTGTATCATTTGTATCATAGACCAATATGCTACATTGTAGTTTCCATCCTTGCAAGCCTCATTTTATTGTTTTAAAATGTTGATATGTTTCTGACTAAATTGTATTTATTTATAACAACTTATTGGCTAGAAACATAGTTCATTTCTTGACTAGGAATAGAACTACACTATTTGTTCCAAATAAAATGTGGTTTTTATTAAATTTTTTATTGTAGATTTTGGGGTTTTTGTGTGCACATGTGTTTTATGCAGGGACCCAAAGTGCATTAGAACATTTGCTATTCTCTTGTGCTTTTTTTGGGAGGGGGGAAGGAGCTATGTGTATCATCTTGGAAGCAAGAAGATTGGTTGGTTTTCATGTTTGGATGTTTTTTGTTTCAGCTGTAAATGCCTTCAGGATCCTTAATATAACCAGCTATTGTCTGCATTGCAATCTGCAGAGTTGAATTAACTTTCTCTTCTAGGCTCTACTGCACTTTTTAAAGTGTTTGCATACTACAGTAACATCCATTCTTGTGGTCATAACCCATGTGTATGGTTCAAGTCACCAAAACATGTACTCAGAATCAACACTTGACTACAGAACTGCTAGGATGAATGTCTGCTTTAACTGTCCCTTTCCACAAATCATGCTGGGTCCTCCATTCTAGCATCCCTGGAGGCATCTGGTGGAAAGCGGAGACAGTTGCAGTAGTGCTTCTCAGCTTCAGAACCAGAGGGTGGCAGTGCAGACATGCTTGATTCTATTTTCACAGAGTGGAAGGATGACAAGTCACTTCTTTCTTTACACAGTAATTTTAGAAAGATTACTTTACAATTTCAAACATACTTGTATAAAATCAAAAGATATTTAATTTTTTAAAATGTGGTGTATAAATAACTTTGTACATTGATATGTATATAACCTCTGTGCAACTGTAATCTGCATCCAATTTAATGAATGTTGCTGAATATAGAGGTTTGTAAGATGAAGAAATAAATTTACAAAACTGTCTAAGATCATGACAGTACAATAGAAGGATCTTTTCCCTGTTCATAGAACAATGTGCAGTGTTATGCACCCAACTGTCAGAAAGAGCAAGAAAAGTTCAATGGTCACATTGATGGTTTTGTTAAGCAGATGTGAATTAATCCAGCGTCTATATCTTATTGTATTTGTATATATTCCAGGAAACTTTGGCCTGCCACAGCCAACTCCAGCACTGGTGATTCCTATTTGATAAAACTTGGTGACACCTGGGAAATAGCACACCAGAGGACCACCACTGTCTCCCTGATACATGGACAAAAAGAAAAGAAAAAAGAAGAAATGTTAGCCATTTGTGATAATCTGCAGATTTGTCAAGTACAGAATTATTATTCAGTTTGAGTCATGCCTCTCATGATTCAAAAAACAATACTGATTTCTTGGAAATATAAATGAATCAGACATACTTAATTGAATGATCTAGCTCTGGTTAGATTATGACACAGTCACTTTCATATGATACTATTAGAGTTCTAACTACAGATTGTCATCAGTATGTACAGATTAAATTCACACTGAAGGCTTAATAACAATATTGTGCATATATATGATATCTGCCAACTGTTTTCAAATTTGTTTTGACTAGAAGCAAATGGTTCTGCTGTTCTTTATAGAAAGAACAGTCCTCGGTTTTCAGTATAGCCTCTTTGCTTTTACATCTTCCCACCTCCATCTTCAGTATAGTGATGCCTTGACTTACAAATGCCCCTACATACAAACATTTCAAATTAAGAACAGCTCCATTCACAAAATTTTGCTTCGACTTGCAAACAGAGCTTCAACTTACAAACAGAAAATGCGGGAAAGGCGGGAAATGGACTTTGGACTGCCTAGTACTCTAATTTTAAAATGTAAAAATTGGTTTAAAAGGTGCTTGGTTTGGTTTAGGGCTGCTTGGTTTTAAAGGTGTTTTGTTTAAAAGGTGTTCATTCCTCCCTCCTTTCCTGCCCTTTTTTTAACCTAAGTCATCTTTGGTTTAAAAAATGTCCCCCAGTGATAGATGATGGATTAACCGGTTTTGCATTTGTTCCTATGGAAACCAATGCTTCGATTTACAAACGGCGCCCCTATATAAAAACAAAAATCAGCCGGAGCAGATTAATCGGGTTTCAATGCATTCCTATGGGAAAGGCTCGTTGGACTTATGAACTTTTCGCCTTACTAACATCTTCTGGGGTGGATTAAGTTTGTAAATCGAGGCACCACTGTATCTTTACTGAGACAGATTATAACAATTAATGGAATGGTGATAGGTTTTCAATTTCAGCTTAACATGTAAACTTTTTCCCAATTGTATATATCATGCTCCACCTTTCCTGCATCTTCCCATCTGCTTTTATCTTCCTTTACTTAAGAGCCTACAAGCAAGAATTTATTTTTAATAATTTTTACAGCACCTAGCACATATTAGACCCTTTTATGAACCATAATGACAAAAACAAAATTATAATAGTCCTTGAAATTGATGTTGACACCTACAACATCAACTTCCAAATTCATTAGCTATTTTGGTGCTTCTTGCGATATTATTGTGTTAACACTAGGTAACACTGTGACCAAGCAACCACATGACAAGATATTTTACCATGGACTTATCTCTATTTTACCTGGCAGCTATCAACACGTCCACTTGCAGAACCAGCACAAATCATATTCCATGATATTGTCCCTGCATACCAGTCATATCTGTTGCAGACATTCAGAGGAATAATGTCAACTTGACCTTCCTGCAATATTTGTTCACCTTTACCTGTAATGAAAACATGTCTAGTATGTAAAAGTAGTGGGGCTCACTGGCCACTATAACTTACCAAAGTGTATTGCAGCAGGCCCACCCACCCCTATTTAGGTTTTACACTGGTTTGCTATACATCAGGATCAGGTAGAGGCGAGAAGTCATGTAAGGAGTACAACAAAATGTGATTATTAAATCTAAGCTAGGCTTAGCAAGCATTTAAAGGAAAACCAAGTGTTTCAGCCATTGTAAACTTCTTGGACCATTGCTAAGTGTATGAATTGTGTTCAAGCTATCCATATACAGTGGTGCCTCGCTTAACGATTGCCTCGTTTAGCGATGAATTCGCATAACGATATGTTTTTTTAGAAAATAATATGCACCGTATAACAATGTTTCCTATGGGCGATTTTTGCTTAGCGAAGTTTGGGACCATGGTTCGCATAACGAATGCGATTTTAGGTCCCCTGCTTCACTTAACGATGTTTCTTTTTTCAATTTAAAAAGTGTCTTAGAAGGGTCAAAAACGGTTCTAAATGCTTGGATTCGTTAGAGGACCCCCTAAGTCATGTGCAAACCTGATTTGGCTTTGATCTGACTTTTTGTTAATTTATGGTTAATTTTTTTTTCGGCCCATAGGAACCAATGGACCTGTCAAAATCTGACAGCTCCATGCTTTCCTATGGGGGAGAAAACAATTCGCCATAAATTAATGGAAGTTCAGATCAAAGCCAAATCAGGTTTGCACACGACTTAGGGGGTCATCTAACGAATCCAAGCTCAAAGCCAAATTAACTTTTGCATCCGTTTTAGAGGGTGCAGAAGCTAATCCAAGCATTTAAAACCATTTTTGACCCTTTTATGACACACTTAAATTTGCAAAAATTGACTTCGCAAAGCCATTGAAATGTATTGAGTCAGCTTCAATACATTCCAATGGAGGAAACATTGTATCGTTTAACGATGTTTCCTATGGGTTTTTTCGCTTAAGGACGGCAATCCGTGCCTATTGGAACGGATTAACCGGTTTCCAATGCATTCCTATGGAAAATGGTGTTTCGCATAACAATGTTTCACATAACGTGTTTTTTTTTGAACCAATTAAAATCGTTATGCCAGGCACCACTGTACTATGAGGGGTATATGGGCAAAAGCCAGATGGGCTATAGTTTGATTATACTACTGATAAGAATAAAAATGGTTTTTAAAATATGTTTTACAAACACACATTTAAAAATGTGTGTGTGTGTGTGTGTGTGAGTGAGTGAGTGAGTGAGAGAGAGAGAGAGAGAGAGAGAGATATGACCCAAGCTGATTGTGCCACCATAGTAAAGAGGTTTACAGCTTGGGCTATATTTTTCACCAGAGGAGGGAGTTAGGTTGTCTTTGCCCTGATGAAATAGAACACAGGCAAGATAAATACTTGCTAGTTAAGTTGTTTGGCTAGTTGTCTCAGCCTTTTGCTTCAAGTGCTCACTCCCACAACAGGGCACATAACCATAAAGAATAATATCAGTAATATCAGCCTGCTTAATAAATGCATGACAGAACTTCCAGAAGTCAACTCTGAAGCCTTTCCCAGGGCAAAACAAGTTGCCTGTCCGATGGAAGCAGCTCACTACCACAGTTTACAGTGAAGCTGCAGTGAAGGAAAAATACAACTGCAAAGAAGTAAAACTGCAAAGTGAGAAATTGACAATTTATGTAATGGAACAAAAAGCAGTTGTGGAACAAGCTGGGTCCAGATATAAGCATCTTGTTAGATATATCAGTGTTCCCTATATCATTAGCACAGCAATGGAAAATGTGGAACAGCAGGACTTTTGCTTGTATTTTTTGTTTCATTTATTGGTTAGCAGCATACCACTTAACTGGCTTGCCACTCAAGCAACACAGCAACATAATGTATGGAAAAAGTGAAAAGAGATTCTCCCTCTGATTTTTCTTCTGTGTCCTCTCTGCAGTTCACTACTAGTGACCACATATGCTGGAAATCAACTAGGGACCACACATACTGTAATCCTACCCCTGCTTTAAAACAAAAAACGCTCCTGACAATGATCCACAAGGATGTGGATCAGGAATGGTTGGATTGGTTTGCAATTACCAGCACACCATGCAGTTGTCAGGAAACAAATCAGAACTAACCATGCCAAAAGCAGTCCAAAATGTGAGATCAAGTGCTGTCTAACTGCACCTGAAGCCTCTCATAATATTGCTAACGCTCATTGCCACTGAAAGATGGAAAGAGCTTTCTATATCCAGTACATAGAAAAAAGCATAGTAAGGGCTGTTTCTTGTTTTACACTATTTATGCTGAAGTTCCCTATGATGCATGTACACTTGTTGGCAAACCTGTTTCCTTATTCAGAATTTTATTTATTTATTTCAACTTATATACTGCCCCAAAGTGCAACACACTCTCTGGGTAGTTTACAGAAAAGCACAGAGAAAGAAAACAAATACAAAGCAATATGCAATGTAAGATCGATCAATGGATAAATTAGCTAATCTATCTTTAGATAAATAATTTAGAACATTGGACATCATAGGAAAAATCACTAAAATAAAAGGCAACTTTGAAGAGTTCTGTTTTAATTAACTTCCTAAAGACTGGAAAGGAAGGGGCCTGGCGAACCTCTTCTGGAAGTTCATTCCAGAGGTATGGGGCCAAAACTGAAAAAGCCTGGTTCCTGATGTTCACTCATGGCATTTCTTGGTGTTACAGTTTTTAACATTCTGGACTGCGAAGAGTGGGTGGGACAAATAGGAGAGTCATTCCAATACATAATAATAGTTCCAAATATACTCACAGCAAAGTATATTTCATTGAATTTGATTGGACTTCCATCCATACACAAGGGTGCAGTGTAAGATAAATAAATAACTTATCCTTAGCAATGAAGGAAAAATAAAAGATTTACCACTCTCTGTTGTGCGTCCCCATCCACTTATGAAACATGGGATCTTAGCTGTGAGGTGAAGATAAGTGTTAGGTAAACAGACAGGCTGGATGAAATCATTGTACTTGACAAACTTTATTAGTTTAAACAAGGCAATGTCATTGTCATATGTCCCAAATTCAAAATCTGAATGGACCACAATAGCTCTGATCTGGTACTTTGCAGTATAGGAGTGAGCTTTATAAAGATTATGCAAGCCAATCACGGCCCTCCAAATATCTGGATTCCTAGGACAGAAGAAAATTTATAATATTAATAAATACTACAGAAATGGTACTATGAATAAAAACATAGAAGCGGCCTATATATGTTTCCTAGAGTTCCAGGGTAGACCACATTACCTGTTGGAGTGTCTTTCCCTTATGTCATCTACCCGACTCACCAGGTCTCAGGCCAGACTCCTCTATGGAGAGGAGGCCCAAAAGTCATCTAGAGGTAGGACCTTCTCAGCAGCAGCACTGATGTGGAATTAGTTCCCAGAGGACCTGTGCCTGGCCCCCTCCATGTACTCACTTAGGAGGCAGTTTTTTTTAAATTACTTTTCGGGGAGGCCTATCACATAGACCCGGTTGAATGCCTTACCTCCAGTTTCACTTCAGTCTGAAAATTGGTTTAGTGCCATTGTTTGTTAAGTTCTTTAGACTATACTTTTGTTGTTTGTGCTGTAATTTAGTATTTATTGTTTTGCGTAATTTGTTTTAACTGCTAGTAAATTATTCAGAATAGAGCTTTGGCACTAATGGCCATGAATGAATGAATGAATGAATGAATGAATGAATGAAGTGAAAATAATATTGATCAGATTTCCCTTTTTAATTTCTGTCTCTCTGAAAAGAGAGATACTTACACTCCTTAAAGTGCAAGTGCAAACCAATCAGCTATAGTTTTACTCATTTTGCTTGACTGCACTTTCTCAGATTATTTTTGAAGTTTAAAGTATAATTTTCCTCACAGAAAATACATGCTTCTGTATAAATAACTCTTCTGTTTTGTAGAAATACAGGAACTCCTTACTACAAAATTGTTTTATTCTATGGCATAAAGACTTTTTTACAGTCTCTAAGGACTCTGCAGGCTACACTATCATACAATTTGCAAACACACTATAAAACATGTCGTGCTTTAATTCTAAAGCACTCATGCCCTGGACGAGTATAGTAACTCCTACAATCTGAAAACTAATATTCAAAAACTTACACTACTATTGACATTATTTCAGATAAGGGAGAAGGCAAGAGAGGCATAGAAAACATGTACAATTATGTCTGAAGTCACAAAAACACAAGAGATGATCTTCCTAGGATTCCTCCTGTAGCCATTCTTAAAGACAATTATCATTTTGTGGACCTCTGCCTAGGGCCCTCAAATGGTAAGTAAATACTTTTAGAAATCTTACAGTATAGCCTAACAGTGCCTTTTAAATTGGTCTAGCATAGCAATTCAGAAGGAGGTAGTTTATTCATGAACAGTTGTTTGAATGCAACAACATTTTCAAATAACAGTGCTAAGTCTTTAGACACCAATTACGTCTTTGGGTGGAATAAATGCAGGGTTAAGGAAGCAGGAACGAAGTGGGAGCTAGTATAAGCATACCATGTTTCCCCGAAAATAAGACAGGGTCCAAAAATGCATTAGGGCTTATTTTCAGGGGATGTTTTATTTTTTTTCATGTACAACAATCTACATTTATTCAAATACAGTCATGTCATCTTCTGGTTGCTGCACAATGGTGGAGGACGGGTTTTCACTTAACTGGGGCTTATTTTGGGAGTAGGGCTAATATTACGAGCATCCTGAAAAATCATGGTAGGGCAAAGGAGACAAAGGAGCAAAGAACGCAAATAAAAACCAAGACGCAAGCTATAGAAGGGAAAATGAAAGATACAGATGCCAGACTAGACAGAACTGAAGAAACGGTGCAGCAGACACAGAAAAACCAAAGGCAATATTAAGATAGACTGGTCATGTTGGAAATGGAGAGAGCCCTGAAGATGTTAAGGATTCAGAATGTACCAGAAAAGGATTCTGAAGATCTGGAGACACTAATGAGTGAGGCCCTGGCACCAGCGATAGAGATGGATGTAGCGGAATTCCACCAAGGTCTCGAAGCAGCCTTCAGAGTGAGCACAGCATATGTTAGAAAAAATAAGCTACCTAAAGAAGTGCATCTGAGATTCACAAAGAAGGCAACCAGAGATAAGGTTTTAAGAGTCTCATAAGAAAAACAATTGACAATAGAAGATAAGCAAATCAATGTTTTAAAACAAATCCCTTGTCAAGTGAGACAGAGAAGAAAGGAACATACCACTTTGGTACAGCTACTTCAACAAAATGGAATCTCATACAGATGGTTAACACCAGAAGGACTATTTTTCTGGATTGATACACAGAGATACAATATAACATCTCCAATGAAAGCAAGGGATTTCATAGAAAAAATGAGAAGAAACTGAAAAAAAAGGTGACAAGGAACCAGATGAAAGATCTAGAGAGGAGCAAACGCAATCATCACAACCAGAATCAGACACGGAAGCAGAAGAACAAGAAACAAATGAGCCAAGATGCACTAGAAGCATGATGAAGAAAAAACAAAAAGATAGTAATTCTAAGCAAGATGTCTAGAAAAAAATGAAGATTATATCAGTAAATGTAAATGGCCTAAACTCACCCCAAAAACGAAAAAAGACATTTCTACAACTGCAGAAACAGAAATTTGATGTTATTTGCATCCAGGAAACTCATGTGAAAAAGAAAGGATTTGAAATTATTAGAGTAGCCAAGATTAGGAAAACTATTTGCGGCTTCAGACGTGAGCAAGAAGAAGAAAGAGTTGCTATCTATATTAAGAAGGAATGGGAGCCCTGCCTTACCTTTGCCTCAGAGGATGGAAGGATAGTAATGGTGGAAATTCAAAGAGAACCCAAGAAACTGTTAATAGTCAATGTTTATGCACCAAATGGCAACCAGGAAAATTTTTTATAAACAACTGCAACGAGAATTGGCAAATAAAGACTATGACCAGTACTGTGTAATTGGAGATTTCAATGCTTTGATAGAGAACTCAAAAACAAGAAAAATAAGCAAAAAGAAGAGAAACATCGTCCCAAGAAATTTTTTACAACTAGCAGAAGAATTGAGTATGGTGGATGCATGGAGAACATGTAATCCAAAGACAAGAGATTATACCTTCTACTCTAATAGACATAAATCATGGTCAAGGATTTATGCATGCTGGATGTCAACAAACCTGATGAGAGAATTGGAACAAATAGATATTCTACCCAGTACATTCGCAGATCATAACCCAATTATGTTACAAGTAGGCAATAGACCAAGAGAATTCAACTAGAAACTTAATAATCTACATTTAAAAAATGAAGAGTTCAAGAAAGAAGCAAAAGAAGAAATTGATTTCTTTTTTAAACAGAATATAAGACCAGACATCTCAATGCTTACGGTCTGGGAGGCAAGTAAGGCTTTTTTTTAGAGGAATAGCCATAAGATTTGCAGCAGAACAAAAAAGAGAAAGACGGAAAAAATATGAGATTCTAGAAAACAGACTAGCGACAGAGGAGAGCCAGTTGAAACAAAATCCATCAAATAAAGAACTGACAGAGAAGATAAAATTGGTACAACACCAGATAAATATATTACTCACCGAAGAAACTGCAAAGAAGTTTAAATTTGCAAAGCAAAACTTTTTTGAGAACGCAAACAAACCGGGAAGGTGGTTAGCATATAAATTAAGGAAAGAGAAGAAGACAATAATATGAATTTTGAAAGATGAAAAAGGACTGGACAAATTTAAACAGGAAGAATTAAAAAAAGATTGCCGAGGATTTCTATCGGAAGCTATATAAGAAAAAAGAAGTCGACATAGAAACTCAGAAAGAATATATATTAAAGCACAATTAAAAGAAATTGACCGAAGATCAAATTCAGTCCTTAAATGAGCTTATAACATATGCAGAAATCATAGAAGCCCTCAAAAAGCAAAAAAATGGGAAAGCACCAGGTCCAGACGGATTACCAGCGGAATATTATAAAGAACTGGAAGAGGTGTTTCTTCAGCCATTTAAGAAGCTGTTAGAATGTGTCGAAGAAGAGGGGAAAATTCCAACAACATGGACTGAGGCAACCATTTCTCACATCCATAAGGAAAATACAGAAGATAAAGAAATTCAAAATTATAGGCCGATTTCATTGTTGAATGTGGACTATAAAATATATGCGACCATCTTGGCAACTAGAATGAAAAGAATTTTAATTCAGTTAATACATCAAGATCAGTCTGGGTTTCTTCCAAAAAGGCAGATGAAAAATAATATAAGGATAGTCCTAAAC